CTGTAAGGTAGGCCATGGGAGTACAACTGTCCTGGAGTCTGCAGTGAGTGCACAGGTTCCTCAGAGTTTCTGAAAGGTAGCAGCACCCTGCCTGGCATGGATTCTCTCTCTCTCGCTCCCTTTCCCACTCCTTGTCCTCTTCTTTCTTATTCTCCTCTGCTTCTTTATCTCCTTCTCTTCCCAAATAGTCACTATGATTTGTTCTGGAGCATCCCCTTCCCAGCTGCCTTCCCAGTGCTTCCTCCATCTCTCTGGCTGCTTTTCCTCCTCTTTCAAATGGCTCACTCTTCTGCCTTCATGTTACACGCATCCCGTTTCTCTCTCTCCTCTTAAGATACCAGTAATTTCCTACGCGCGCGCGTAGGAATCTCAAAGCAGTTTTAAATTACATTTTCAAGATGACTAACGATGTTGAGATTTGTTCCAAGTGCTTATTGGCCTTTACACACACACACACCTTTCAATGTAAGTTCTACACATGAGAGAAGATCTGTGGTGTTTGTTTTGCTAACTTGCTTATTGCTTCATCTTTGTAATGGTTTCCACTTTAATCCCTGTTCTTATAAAAGTTGAAATTTCATTTTTCTTTCTGGTTGAATGAAATTACAATGTGTTTCTGGGCCACACTTTATCTATGTACTGGTGCTCACTTGTATTTACTTCATCTGCCCATAGAAATATAGACTAGCTGCACTTCTTAGCTGTTGTGAATACAACACCATGCATCTTTATGGTATGTTGGCTTAGAGTCCTTGAGGCATATCTGCAAGAGTGGTATAGCTAGGTCATGCGGTACTTCTATTGTCAGTCTTTTGAGGAGCTTGCCCACTGATTTCCATAGTAGCTTCGTAAATTTACATCCCCACCAACAGTGTGTAAATGCCCCTCTTATTCCACATCCCTGCCGGCAGTTGCTGTCATTAGTTTTCTTGATGAGAGCCATTCTAACTGGGGGAGAATGAATCTCAAAGCAGTTTTAAATTACATTTTCAAGATGACTAACGATGTTGAGATTTGTTCCAAGTGCTTATTGGCCTTTTGCATTTTTTCTTTTGAGAGCTGTTTATTCAGTTCATCAGCACTTACACTGATTGGATCATTTGTTTTTGCTGCGTAATATTGTGACTCTTTATATACTGTAAACATTAACCATCTGTCTGGTATACAGTAGGTTAAGTTTTTTTTCCTCCCATTCATTGGGCTATTCCTTTGCAGTGATTATTCTCCATGAAGACAGACTATGTTTGGCTTTTACTTGGGATCCAAACTCAGGTTGTTACTCTTGCAATACAAGTGCTTTTACACACTGATCCATCTCTCTGGCCCCCTCTGTGATATAGTTTGAGCTCAGGCGTGGTATTACTTTCAGCATCACAGCATTAGGATTGCTTTGATGGTGTAGGTTTTTTCTTTGCTCCCATATGAATTGTTTTCATTCATTCTTTAAAGAATGTCACTGATATTTTGATAGAGATTGCATTGAATCTGGAGATTGCTTTCAGTAATAAAAGCTATTTTCACAACACAAATTCTGTCAGTCCATGAGCATGGGAGCTCTTATCTTCTAAGGTCTTAAGTTTATTTGTTCATTGTGTTGAAATTTTCATTATAGAGGTCTTTTACCTCTTTAGCTAAGTTTATTGCTAGGTTTTTATTTTTAAGTTATTGTGAATGACATTTCCCCCCATTATTTCTTTCCTGGCAAGTCTATTATTGTACGGTGCATGTTGATTTGTATTCTGTTACTTAGATGAACGGTTTATCAGTCCTAAGTTTTCTGGTGGGGATGTAAGGTCTTTTACAACTAGGGTCATGCCATCTGAAAGTAAAGATAGTTTGACTTCTTCCATTTCTATTTCTATAGCTTTTATTTCTTTCTCTTATTATATTGCTCTGGCTAAGACATCAAACACTATACTGAATAAGAAAGGAGATAGTGCACAGTTTTGTTGACATTTAGTATAATGTTAGGCAGAGGTTTGTCACATACCTTTGCCCTTATTATACTGAGGTATATTCCATAAATTTCTAGTTTCTTTGGGGACTTTTTCATGAAAGAAGGGATGTTGGATTTTCTTGAAGATCTTTGGCACATCAGATGATAATAACATAGTCTTGGTCCTTAATTCTGACTGTGTGCTATATCACACCTCTTTTTTGCTTATGTTGAATCAAACATGTATCCCTGGAATTGAAACAGTTCAGCCATGGTGTATGATCTTCTTAATGTTTTCTGGAATACAGATTGTAAAACATTTGTTGAGAATCTTTGCATCTATGTTCATCATGGAAATTAGTCTATACTTTCCTCTTTGTTGTGTTCTTACTCAGTTTAGTATCAGGGTAATTTTGGTTTTTCAGAATGAGTTTTGTAGTATCCATTGACTTCATATTTGATGGAACAACCTGAGAAACATTGGTGTTGTCTTATTAAAAGTTTGAAAGAATTTGGCAGTGAATCCTGTTTTTGTTTTGGACCTGTTTAAGTTGTTTAAATCATCTTAATTTAATTTGGAACATCATAGGTGTATAGGAATTTGTCCATTTTATCTACCCTAGATTTTTGGAATAGAAAATTTCTAAGTATTTCTCAATGAGTTTCTGGATTTCACTGGAAACTAACAACTCCCTTTTCTTCTGCAATTTTATTAATTCATATTTTGGGGGGTTGATTTGGTTATGAGTCTCTCAATCTTTTTTCTCCTAAGACCATTTTTTTGTTTGATTGAGCCTATGTATTTTTCCCTTAGTCTCTAATTTATTAATTTCTATGTTGATCTCTATTACTTTTTGCTGTCTACTGCTTTGGGGTTTGGATTATACTCATTTTTCATAGACCCTAGGGTACATCAATAGGATATTTATTTGAGAGATCTCTAATTTTTTTCACTTTCAAATCATTTTATTTCCCAAGCTCATAGACAAAATAGTCTAGGAAAACAAATGTGACTAATGGATACAATCTTCTAACTACTGCTTTATAAACACAATCTACTACTACTACTAAATAATTCAATATAAATATTTATTAGTTATAAATATTTTTATATATGCATATATAAAACCTACTGAGTCCACTTACTTTTGCCCCAAAGCACATGAGTATAGAAAGGATGTCCATGGTAGTGTGGACAAGCTACCAGGGGCCCCACCTCTGAAGAAAACTGACCTTTCTCTCCCCTGACAGCCATGGATTTCCTGTAGCATCTCAACTAGGAGTCAGACCTTTTGACTCACTCCCCTTTCCAGCATGCTGTAATATTGACTTGATTGTTCTTGTGCAGATCTTCTCTAGACAGCCACAGCTGCTCATGAATGCAACTGCCTGTCATGTCCAGAAAACAGTTTTGAAGCTACCCTCCACAAGCTCTGGATCTTTCTGCCCTCTCCTCTGTGATGTTCCCTGAGCCTTATGGGAAGAGGCTATGCAATAGATGCCCCATTTGGGGATGAGTATTCCATAGTCGCTTATTTCCTGTACTTTGTTAATTTGATAATTTCCATCACTACAAAAAAAGAGGCTTCTCTGATAGGGAGTGGGAGCTGGGCTAATCTATGGGTACAGGTTAAGTATTTAGAAGGCAGTGAGATACTATGACATTTTAGCAAAATGATAGTATTAGATTCTCTGCTAGTTTCTACCACCCCTCTACTCATGGATTTTTTTTTTGTGCCAAATTTACCATATCAGGCATGAGATATTCCTGTTGAGCATTCCTTAAATTCAGTCAGTCAACCATTGACTACCCCTGCTGAAGATATTCATAGCATAATTACACCAATGGGAATATCTTTCTAAGTGAGTTGTTATTGTAGTTCACATAGTTGACAGCTTGGTAACACTGTGGCTGTTCTCTCCTGGATGCCTGCCTAACACTATGGATGCTCCCAGCAGGAGGGAGACTGCCAGTTCAGTATCAGCTTGATTTCTCCAAGTCCTGTGACCAAAGTCTGTGCCGTATTCACCGATAGGGCCTTACTGCCAAGTTCTGGTGGACAACCAAGTGTGATGGCATTGGTCTGCACTGGGAGGCTCTCCTCCGACTCTCTGGTTTTTTATATAAGCACTCATAGCTAAAACATTTCTCTCAGAGCTGCCATAGCTGTGTACCAAAGGTTCTGGTAAATTGTATTTCATTTTCTTCTGTTTTCTAAGTTAGAAAATGTTGAAATGACATTTTTTTTTTAGTTTGAGTGTGTATTTTTGCACACATGCGTACAAATGTGGAGGTCAGAGGAAAACTTTTGGGAGTTGACCTTCCCTTATATCATGTGGGCTCCAGTATAAAAATCAGGTTGTTAGGCTTGACACCAAATACCACTAACCCTTGAGCCTTTTCAGTGACCTAATTTTTAAAGTTAGTTTGTGTGTGTGTGTGTGCACATGTGTTGAGGTCAACAAAATTTATGGAAGTTGTTCTTCTACTATGTGGGTTTCAGGAATCGAACTCAGAAGGTCAGGTTTGGCATAAGGCGCCTTTGCCTGCTGAACCATCTTGCTGGCCCTTTTATAGCCTCTTGATGGATTATTCCCTGTGATGGCTAATCTTGGTTGTCAACTTGACTATATAATTAAGCAAAACCCAAGCAGCTAGGCATGTCTGTGAGGAATTTTCTTGATTGGATCATTTGAAATTGGAAGATGCACTCTAAATCTAGATCATTTGAGGTGGGAAAACCCACCCCAAATCTGGGCAACACC